GGAGGCAACCTAAGTGTCCATCGACAGATGAATGGATAAAGAAGATGTGGCACATATATACAATGGAATATTATTCAGCTGTAAAAAAGAAACAAAACTGAGTTATTTGTAGTGAGGTGGATGGACCTAGAATCTGTCATACCGAGTTAAGTAAGAAGGAGAAAAGCAAATACCATGTGCTAACACATATATGTGGAATCTTAAAGAATGGTTCTGATGAACCTAGGGCAGGACAGGAATAAAGACTCAGATGTAGAGAATGGACTTGAGGACACGAGGAGGGGAAGGGTAAGCTGGGATCAAGTGGCATGGACGTATATACACTACCAAACGTAAAATAGATAGCTAGTGGGAAGCAGCCGCATAGCACAGGGAGATCAGCTCGGTGCTTTGTGACCACCTAGAGGGGTGGGATAGGGAGTGTGGGAGGGAGACACAGAGGGAGGGGATATTGGGATGTATGTATATGTATAGCTGATTCACTTTGTTATACAGAAGAAACCAACACAACATTGTAAAGCAATTAAACTCCAATAAAGATGTTTTAAAAGTATAATTTCCAAAAATTAGAAATATGAGTTTCATAAAGATATAAAGTGAACATGTAGAAATTTTATTTAGCCTATCAACGAGGAAAACAGTGAGGTGGTAAACTGATTCTCCAGGTATTTGTGGAACTGGGTATTTATAGGCTTAAAACAAAAACAGTGTTAGATTAAGATTGCTAGGCTACAGGTAAAACTGGATAGTGTCCTACAGGGCTGTAAAACTAATCATTGAGGTTTTCTCACCATTCCGAAATCTGCCAGCTAACATGTCATCTCACAGTATCTGGTTTCTAATCTCATAGTGAATAGAAAAGTCTCAAACACAAGGAAGTTCTCCTAGAGAATTCAGGAATCCTTGGGAGGATTTGTGTAACAACATGCAGTATGACCTGCAGAGATATGCCGCCACCTCCTCACCCACCCACTCTCCACTTCTGCCCAACTGCCTTAGCTCCAAGTTTTGGATATGTTTTATTAACATTGAAAAAAATACTTTGGCGTTAAAGAAATCTAAGGGTGAATCTCACTTCCTTCACTTGCCAGCTGTGTAATATTGGGCAGGTAGTTACCTGAGACTGGATTTGCTTGCTGCAAATTGGGAGGAGCTTTTGTAAAGTGCCTGACACATGATAGGCACTCGTTAAGTCTTAGTTCTTCTCTTTACCTTTCCTTTTTCTTAAGTGAAAAAAGTTTACCCTTTGTCCGGCCTTCAGAGACAAAGTTTTCTTCCCCTTGGCAAGTGGAATATTTATACATGGAATGGAATATTTATAAATGGAGTATTTCCTGCCTTATCAATAAACAAAGGATGTCACGGTCATCAACGATTGCAGCCCTCCAACGTGAGCGGGTGAGCCCTGAGGAAACTCAGGGCTGAAAAGAATACCTGCCATCTAGCAGCCATCAGAATGAAGCCACTCCCTGCGGTGAGCCCTGAGGAAACTCAGGATGTGAAAATACAGGATACTGGCCACAGATATCTGAGGTGCATATCAAAGGAATGATTTCAGCGAGCCCAGACTCCTGCATCTTCCCATACATACAAAAGCGCTAAATTCTTTAACCTGAGATATCTGGTTTTCTTTAATTAACAATAATCTTTTGCCATTCCAGACTACCTGCCCTTTGTTGCAAAACTCCTATATATCATGGTTCCTCCCCTCGCCTCCTTGGAGCAGTTTCTCAGTTATCTGAAATGCTGTCTCCTGGGCTGCAGTCCTCATTTTGCCCCAAATCAAACTTAACTCGCCACTCTTACGTTGTGCATTTTTTTAAGTCAGTACCCTCCCTCCCTCCCTCCCTCCCTCCCTCCCTCCCTCCCTTCCTTCCTTCCTTCCTTTCTTCCTTTCTTCCTTTCTCTCTCCCCCTCTCTCCCTCCCTCCCTCTCTCCCTCTCTCCCTTCCTTCCTTCCTCTCTCTCTCTCTCTTTCTCATCTCTAGTTTATTAGAATAATATCCTAGAACTCTGGTGGATTTTTTCCATTACTAAGAGAGGCATTCTCTTAAATTTTTATTATTCATCTAAGTGGAAAAAAATAGATTTTTTTACATTAAAAATTTAAAGATTAAAAATTAAAAGATTCTTTTTTAATTAAAAATTTCCACCAGCTTTATTGAGATGTAGTTAACCTATAAGATTGTGTTTCAGGTGTATAAACTGGCGATTTGATATATGCATATATTGTGAAATGATTACCATAGTAAGGTTAGTTAACACATCCATCACCTCACATAGTTATAATTTTTTGTGTGTGTGATGAGAATTTTGAAGATCTACCCTCTTAACTACTTTCAAATATGTAATGTAGTATTGTTAACTCTGGTTACCACGTTGTACAGAATGCTTTATTTACAGAACCCTCTGCATATGACAAAATGGAGAGATGTTCCTCAAGTGAAGATGATTTCTTACTGGATATAACTTAGTGTTTCTTGTTTTGAGGTGGGGATGGGGGTATTACTTGTTTAAGTGTAAATATTATCCTTGTCTCCTTTTAAAAGGAGAACTGGCTTTCCGAGTTATCCTTTCTGAAGCCCACTCAGTATCTCAGTGTCTGCTGTGAGCCCTGCTCTGGGTTGAGGTTTGTGAGGAAGGGGTTGGATGCACAGAAGCTCCGAGGAGCATGCTCTCTGCATTCCCCCTTCCTGGTACAGGTCAGCCCAGGTGGGGTTAACGGATGGCAGAGGGACCATGAGCTGGTGTCTGGCACAGGTAACAGGTCATCACTACCAGATCTGTATTCCTGGAGAGTATTCGTCTCTCCCCTTCTCCACAACCCCTCACATGTGGGACACTGAGCTGTGATTCAAAATGACAAAGTCTTCTGATATTGTTCCAATCACTAATTTCTGGAGAGTGAGGAGTAAGAAAGAATTGCCCTTGACTGTGCCTTCCTCACAGAGTATGGTATTAATATAGATCAATAGGTCAGGGATCCCACATTCTAAACTCACTTCTGCCACTACTTATAATGTTGTTTCTTCTTTTTCGTATTTACACATTTTTTTTTTCCTTTCCTGCCTAAGTGCAGAATCAGTATGTTGTATACATTGTTCAGTATTAATGGTCACACGAGGGAAAAGCTCTGTAACCCTCTTTCGTCATTTCTGTGTCCTATCTGTAAATGAGGTGATGTGATCAGTGCTTTGATGGTCCAGGCTCAGTTCATTCATTCATTAGGCAACATGTAGCTGTTGAGCAACAGCTCTGTGCCAAGCCCTGGCGGTTTCTCTGTAAACGTGATAAATGAGAACCTGCCCTAATGGAGATAGATTGTAACCAAGGAAACAAATAAGATGATTAGAGACTATGATAAGTATTATGAATGAAAGAAATCAGGTGATGGGAAACTATAAGTAAGCTGCTATTAGTAATTTTAATTAGGGTTATCAGAGATGGTCTCTTTGAGGAGGTGGCTTTCTGAACTGCAAATGGAAGGATGAGAATGAGTCAGTCATAGGAAGAGTTGAGTGAAGAACATTCTAGGAAAGAGAGACAATGCAGAGAGGTGTGGGATGAATTTGGCTTGTGCACGGACCAGAAAGACAGACCTTTGGCTGAAGTGGAGTGAGTCTGGTGGGTGGAGAGGTGGACAGAGGCTGGCAGGGTCATTTAGGGCTTTGTAGATCATGGGAAGGAATTTGGGTTTATTCTAAGTGCAATGGAAAGCTTTTAAAGAGGTCTAAAGCAGTGGAATGGTATGAGCTTATTAAAAGAAGGGAAAGGAAAGAATAACTACGGCTGTTGTGTGAAGAACTGAATGGCAGATGTCAGGCTTGGGAGTAGGGAGACCAGTGAGGTCCTGGTGCTTGGCTGTGGAGAAGGTGGTAGGGATGTGAGAGAAGGAGGCCTTGAAGGTTTGACTAGGTTATGGTGGGTCCCAAATACCTGGATGAGGAGCTTGGATTTGATTTTTGCAGCTGTGAGGGAGCTTCGTGTGTGAGTGTGAGTTTGTGAGTGAGTGAGTGTATGTGTGTTTGTGTATGACTGTGAGTTTAGGGGTGAGACTGAGTGTATGAGCCAGTGTGTATGAGCGTGGGGTGCATGTGTGGATTTGTGAGCAGATGTGAGTGTGTGTGTTATGTGTGTATGTGTGTGTGTTTGGGTTTTTCTCCTGTTGCAGATTTTGAACAGGCCAGTGGCATGATGGAAAGGGCTGCCCTGTATGCTACAGATAAAGGCTGCTGACAGGGAGACTTGCTGGGCGGGTAGTGGAGTTAGACGTGACACGAAGGCCCAGACGTGCTAACGTGGCCAGCCATGGAGAAAGAGACGACTGAATCGGGCAGGTCCTGTTCTTTGTTTTATTCTGCTTCTGGGTTGGATGAGACTGAGGAGTGAAGACCCCACTGAAGGAGTCACATTCTCTTCAGATTCGCCCAGTCTGATTGCTGGCTGAGTAGCTTACTCGTCTTATTAGTGACAAAGCCAACCCTAAATTAAACCTCACTTAAATTCATGTGTTGGTTTCTCTGAAAAGAATTCCATTAGTAAGAGTTAAGTGGAATGGTTCTACTGCAGCCCACCCAAACTGTCCCCACTCTGCCTTGAGAGGTGCGCGTGCACACACACACACGCACGCAGGGAGTACACGCACACGTAGGGAGTACACACACACACGGGGAGTACACACACACACACGGGGAGCACACACACATGCACACACATTGGGAGTACACACACACGGTGTGTACACATACACACATGGGGAGTACACACACACACGGGGAGTACACAATACGGGGAGTACACACACACACACGGGGAGTACACACACATTGGGAGTACACACACACGGTGTGTACACACACACACATGGGGAGTACACACACACATGGGGAGTACACACACACGGGGAGTACACACACACACACGCACACACACACACATTCTCTTTTATATTTAAATTTCTTGATTCTTGAGAAACTCATTGTGTTTTTTGTTCCCCCCCAGGATATCTTTGAAGATGCCTTGGAAACCCTCTCTGTGTAAGTAGTAACATAATAAAAAAGTATGTAGTAGAGAAAAATTGACGGTTTTCTTATAAGAAATGTAAATATTTCTTCTCATTTTTTTGAATTTTTTGAGTGTAGTGGCTATTGTTGGAAAAATTCACTTCTCCGTAATTTAACAGTTAGGATGTGATTAAGCTTAAGAAAGGATCTGTCTAAAGTTACTATCAAATATGTTTTTGAGTCTTATTTCTTGTAACCTTAATTAAACTAAAATGAAAGAAAAAATGTTTTCCAACAAATTAAATTTTATTTGTTTATAGCTAACCCTTTTACATCTTGCCCATATTTATTTACATGGTTAGCCTCATATTGTAGATTTTTGCTTTTGGTTTGCCCTTAGTTTTATTATAAGCGTTTCCTTTAAGCCTACATAATTTTTGTAATGATTTTAAATGACATCATATTAGATCAAATGGAACATTGCAATTTACTTATTCATTTCTCCTTTGTTAGACATTTAGTTTTTCACTGGTTTAAAAACTTAAAACTAAGTAGTGAACATTTTAATGTGTATAGCTTTATCATATTTTTGAATATCTCCAAAAGGTTAACTTCACCCATGTAGAATTATTGGATTAAAAGGGATGAATATTTTTATTCTTAATGTGATATTTCTCAAGTTGCCTTTCTGTGTTAGTTAGCTCAGGCTGCCATAATAAAATACCATAGACTGGGTGGCTTAAACAACAGAGATTTATTTTCTCACAGTTCTGGAGTCAGAGATCAGGGTGCCAGTGTGGTCAGGTTCTGGTGAGAGCTCTCTTCCTGATTTACAGATGGTCACCTTCTCGTTGTGTCTTCACATGGCAGAGGGAGAGAGAGCGAGAGAGCAAGATTTCTGGGGTCTCCTCCTATAAGGGCATTAGTCATGAGGGCGCCCCTCTCAGGACCTGATCTAAACCTGATTATCTCCCAAAGTCCTCATCTCCAAATACCATCACACTGGGGATCAGGGCTTCAACATGTGAAACTTGGGGGGACGCTATTCAGTCCACAGCACTTTCAAAAGAGTTTCACCAGTTTGCACGGCTGTGAACTGCGTATAAGTGAAGTGGTTTAAAATGTAGCATTATCATCCCTAGGTATTATTTGAAACCATTTTGCTGCTTAAATGATACCTAATTGTTTTGTCTTAACATTTTTTTCTGGGAGTTCCCTAGTGGCCTGGTGGTTAGGATTCTAGGCTTTCATTGACGTGGCCTGGGTTCAATCCCTGGTCAGGGAACTGAGATCCTACAAGCCATGTGGTGCACACAACCCCCCAATTTTTTTTCTTATAATCACTGTTTAGTCCGTAGCATTTCCTTTTGTATGAACTCTAGTCTTCTTTTGCCTATTTAACTTTTTTCTCAATGTTTCTTTTACATACTTATGAACTTTAAAATATATATACACCTTCATATTTTGTCCTATTTGCTACAGATACTTTCCCTTAATTGCTATTTTTATGTTAGAGTTGCAAATTTTTATATTGTCCAAAAGTTTTAGTGTTTATGTCATTGAATGTGTATGTGAATAAAAAACTTAATTGTGATTAGGATTTTAAAAAATAACCTTTCTACTGTGCAACAGTTTCAGATTTACAGAATTATTATGAAGATAGTATGGAGAGTCCTCTATATCCCACACTTGTTTTCCCTATGATTAATTTCTTACATTAGAATGATATATTTGTCACAATTAATAATCTAATACAGATACATTGTTATAACTAAAGTCCATACTTGATTCAGATTTCTTTAGTTTTTATGGAGTATCCTTTTTCTGTCCCAGGATCCCATTCAGGACACCACAGTACAATCATTCGTCCTGTCTCCTTAGGCTATGCTTGATTGTGACAGTTTCTCAGAGTTTCCTTGGTTTTGAGTACTGGTCATTTGTTTTGTGGAATGTCCCTCAGCTGGGATTTGTCTGTTTTTTTTTCCTCATGATTAGACTGAGGTCATGTGTTTTTGGGAGGAAGATCACAGACCTAAAGTATCATTCTCATCACATTATATCAAAGATACATGTTATCAACCTGGTTTACTCCTGTTGATGCTGAACTTCGTCACTTGGCTTGAGATAGTGTTTGTCAGATCTTGCCACTGTAAAGTTTTACTCTTTTTCCCCCCCTTCCCTTTTCATACTGTACTCTTTGAAAGATAATCTACTTGTGTAATTTAAAAAATGACTTTAAAGGTGAGTGCATTATTTGCCATCCAGAAATCTTACCCAGCTCTGCTGTGGCTTCTCCGCTCTGAGCGTTGGCAGGAATTGAGCTTGGGCGGCCTGGTAGACTGAAGTTGAGGAGGTAGAAAAGGATCTGACTGTGGGGCGGTGACTGGAATTCACCAGTGGAAGCGCTGCTGTTCCCAGTGAGAAGCTAGAACACTCGACACACACCAGAGAGGGGTTCAGGTCTTGGAGATGAAGACAGGTCAGACTGATGTAATTGACATGACCGATGGGTGGCACACATTAAAATTTGTGTTTCTTTGAGCTTTCAGTGGCTGCATTAGACTGGCAGTGGCTTTACCTTTGGGTCTGAAAGGCATTGTCAGCAATTTCTAACACCTATTAGTTTTTATTTTGTTTATTTATTTTACAGCAGGTTCTTATTAGTTATCTATTTTATACATATTAGTGTATATATGTCAATCCCAATCGACACCTATTAGTTAAAAAAAAAATCAAATTATAGGGAAACAAAAACCTTCTGAACTTGACTTGCGATTTCTGGTTTTCCAAGTAAGGAGCTTGAAGTTGCCACTTTGTCCTCACAACAAGTAAAGAGGTAAACAGACTTGGAAATTCTACAACTCATTTTGCATCCATAAGAAAGGAGAGGATACACAGAAGATCACTGCTCCCAGGCCTGGAGGGACAGAAGGGCAAATACAGGGAGTCATGGTGTACAGAGTTGAAGCCAGGGCAGGGGTGGGAAAACGTCACCTGTGATCGATGAATTGCTGGGGGCTCAGTGTGAATAACTCTGGGAGTTGAGAACCATAAGGAGACCCACTCATATGGAGCCCCTCCACCCACAATGTGAAATTTGCCTCCAGAAGCTGTACCAGATTTATACAGTAAATAGAGGAGAAAAATCCCTTTGGGCTTCCAGCAGGGTGAGAAGAAAAAGAACCATTCTGAAATACATCAGAGTTTACTGTTCTTAACAAGGCCTGCCCTCAGGGGAGAGTAGTTAACCAGAACTTAACTGACCCAGGGGAGCTCTAGCCCACTCTGGCCATCCTGTCCCATCTAAGAGAGAAGAAAAACTGAGAAACACTTGAGAAGTTCCCAGTCCAGAGGCACAGGCTCCCTAAAAGACTGAGACCTCATCACAGGTCGATAGAATGCTTCCCCTCCGCCACGCCTCACCACCACATGACCACAGGCCTATTTATAACAGTTCCTTTTATCATGTACATCATGTTTAACTATCAAGAAAGATTACAAGGCAGACCAGTAGGCAAAAAACACAGGTTGAAGAGACAGAGTAAGCGTCAGAACCAGACGTGGCAGGGATATGGGAATTTAAAAGAGCTATGGTTAATATGCAATGGGCTCTATGGGAGAAGTAGAGAGACTGTAGGAATAGCTGGGTAATGTAAGCAGAAAGATGGAAACCATAAGAAAGAACCAAAAAGAAATGCTAGAGATCAAAACACTCTAACAGAAATGAAAAATACCTCTGATGGACTTATTAGACTGGACATGGCTGAGGAAAGACTCTCTGAGCTAGAGGCTGTAGAAATAGAATCCCGAATAGAGTGGAATAGGATCCTCAAAAACTGAAAAGCAAAGAGAACAAAGAGTGAATAAAACAGAACAGAATATCCAAGGACTGTGGGGCAACTACAGCAGGTGTAACGTATGCATAATCGGAACATCAGAAGGAGAATAAAGAAAAGAACAGAAGAAATATTTGAAATAATAATGTCTGAGAATTTCCACAATTAATGTTAGACACCAAACCACAGATCCAGGAAGCTCAGAGAACACCAAATAGGATGATTGTCAAAAAATGACCTCTAGGTACATTATTTGTAAACTGCAGAGAATCAAAGATAAAGAAAAAATCTTGAAAGAAAAAATACACCTTACCTATAGAGGAGCAAAGGTAAGTATTACATCCAGCTTCTCCTCAGAAACCAGGCAAGCAGAAGAAAGTAGAGTGAAATGTTTGTGTTGAGAGAATAAAACCATCAACTTAGAATTCTGTATTCTCTGAAATTATCTTCAAAAGTAAAGGAGAAATAAAGACTTTCTCAGGTGAACAAAAACTGAAGCAATTTGTTGCCCATAGATCTGCCTTGTAAGAAATATTAGAAGAAATTCTATAGAGAGAGGAAAAATAAATATGGGTCAGAACCTGAGATCTACTTAAGGAAAAGAAGAACATCAAAGAAGGAATAAGTCAAAGTAAAATAAAACATTTTTTCATATTCTTAATTGATCTAACAGATAACAGTTTGTTGAAAATGATACCAACAGTGTATTTGGTTATATATGCTTATGTTTATATCTTATGTATATACACATGCTTATTTATGCTTACATATAAGTGAGATGAATGACAACAATGATACAGGGATGGGAGGGAGGAATTAGGATTATTTTGTTATTATAAGGTACTCATACTACCTGTGAAATGGTATAGTGTACTTTAATGTAGACTTGGATTAGTTGTAAATCTGTACTGCAAACTCTAGGGCAACCACCAAAAAAAAGTAAAAACAGAAGTAAAGCTGATGTGCTAAGAAAGGAGAGAAAATAGAGCATATAAAATGCTCAATTAAAACAATATAAGGCAGAAAAAGAGTAGAAGACAAGAATAGGAACAAAGAACAAGGGCAACAAATAAAAAACAGTAATGAATATGGTAGATATTAATCCAACTATATCAATATTCACTTTGAATGTCAGTGGTGTAAATTTACCAATTAAAAGACATTGTCAGAGTAGATCAAAAAACATGGTCCAACTGT